GCATGCATGCAATCAGCTAGCCAACAGCAACACGTGATACACAAAGAACTTTCCAGAGAACGAAACGCGTAATACTGCGACTATACTGCAAAAAAAGAGATGACAACCGCTGATGATAAATCACGTGCACGGACATCAAGCTGTATATCTGCAGGAATGCATTGGTGGTATATGAAGGAAACATTACTCCTGACCTTTCTGTGCTCCTCTTTCAACCTCTCAGCGCCTTGAGGCAGATCTTTACTCCGTTTGACTTTTCCAGTTGCAGCCATTTGGTCATGCAAGTATGTCATCCACAATAAAACAAGGATTTGTTGTTTAAATATCCAAAACACTGAATGCTCAGGGGTTTGAAGTCCTATAAAAATGTTTATGAATGCAATTGGATGTGTTGCACTCAATCTGTCGCCTCGTAGTCATCAATGAAGCAGAACAAGTGGTCCAGTATATCGAGTTTGAGACCATTTCACACGTGCATGGTACGATGTCGAAGTTATCCCAAAATGTCCTCTTGTTTACAGTCCACCGATGGCCTGTTTCCCCTGCGCCATGTTCTGCTAATCACGGATGTAGCACGTACTCTGGATATCTCTCTTCCTACAACGACGCAAACACGTGATCGCTTACTTCGCCTATTTAATTTCACTTTCAGTTATGAATAACAAATACAAAAGGATTAAAGACATTTCTTAAACTATACATAGACTAAAAACAATTATCAGCATGGAATTGCATAAATAAGACAACGTCCTGACTATAAAATGTCCATAATGCAACATGAGTAATTACTTATGAGGGGAAAAAAGTATTTATATTTCATTCTTAAATTATTCATAAAAGGTTCTGTTAATGGCAAGATTTGTTTGATCGAAAATGTGTATCGTTGACCAGAGGAGTGTGCTTTTAACGTACGTGTAAACAATCCTCACGCTGACTATATCACGTGACATTTTGAACGAAACGGGAAGCTGTAAACGTTGAGAAAAAGGTAACTAAAATAAAAGACTTCGTTTCAATTTTTTGCCAGTGTTGTTTCAGTTTGAACCGTTTTAAGATATGACTGATGTAGATGTCTCATCCGAGCTGCTTTATAGCAAATCACATTATAATTAAATAATTCCACAATTTTAATTTCACCCAGATACCTTTATTTTGAAGAAAAGACGAAGTGTCGTCGGCGTCAGTAACGTTTTCTAGAATGGTCTCTCATCACATTGAGCTGCTTAAAGAAATTTGCAGCTGAAATTCTAATTATTTATTAACGTCAGGAATTATTAGAGTGCTGGTGTACTGACACTTACTCATAAAAGTGACTGAATCCTTTGCTTTTTAAAAATCATAGTTTTGTCATGTCATTGGAAAATTGTTCATATCAAATAAATATATAGTTCACATTTTTTTCACTCCTTTAATTTAATATAGCTACTTTTTAATTTATTCGTGCTTATGTAAATGTCAATTTAAATGTGCATTCAGCTTAATAAGACAAAATAAAACTTGACATATTCACTAGGTGGCATGCATGTTTATTGCATTAATAATTATTTTGTATTTGTTGACGTGACGATTTTTATTTCTTTTTTGTCCAGGTGACAAGAAGCTTTTGAGTCAGTCATGTTCAGGCACTGCAGGACATTTTCACATTATGTCTTAAAAAGTCAAATGATGTACTTTCAAAACCAGTTAGGATTCTTTTGCCCTGGTCTCCATTCACTTGTACCGCATCCCCATGTACTCATTCTACCAACATCAAGATGCACTCCTACTTACAGTACATGAAAAGGAAAGTCAAAGGTTCGCCAGCTCCTCCATACAACCATGTGTGTCAGGTTGGAGATCCTGTGTTACGTTCACGGGCTGCGGCGGTGGAACCTGGAGCCATTCAGGGACCAGAAGTGCAGAAGGTCATAAAGACCCTGGTCAAGGTGATGAGGAAGCTTGAGTGTGTCGGCCTGAGTGCACCCCAGATTGGTGTTCCTCTACAAATATTAGCCTTAGCGTATCCAAAGAAAATGCTGGAGGACAACTCAATCGCTTCTTTTGAAGCTCGGGGTCTGGTGGCAGTGCCCCTTATGATTTTTGTAAACCCAGTTACGTGTACTAGATGGATGCACTGTCATCTTCCAAGAAGCTTGTGAGAGCATCTGTGGCTATTCGGCATCTGTTCCACGCTATGTGTCTGTTGAAGTCTCAGGTGAAAGCATCATGCTATAAAATATCAAAAACAATGAATGAATAAATAAATAAGACTCAACCTGTAATAAGAAGTGACTGTTAAGAGACTTAAATCCATTTTTGCAACCTAAATATTTATTCTGATATTCTTGATAGTATCAAATCAGAACTGTTTGTTTTTTTCTACAAGGTCTTAATGAGAAAGCGGAGCCTGTCAGCTGGCAAGCAAGTGGATGGCCGGCCAGAATAGTGCAGCATGAAATAGATCATCTTAATGGAGTGTTATATATTGATCGCATGGATAGTAAAACCTTCATTAACGTAAAATGGGAAGAGTATAATGAATGAAGCTTTGGGAACTTCATTGCAACCTTACCTTTGTATTTCAGAGAAAATGGATATTCCTATCAATCCTGTGTTATCTGAAACAAGCATTTTATCACATTTCACACTGAACATTTACAATCAAGCTAGTTTCCACTTTGGCTATGCAGATAGTATACAACTAAATGGAGATTACACCACCTTTATCTCCAATAGCAAGACCCCTTTTTTTGTAACATTATTTTGTATTTTTAAATAAAAGCAAAAGCAGAATTCTCTTTCAGTCCCTTTATTTTTATATTAATTCCAATAAACCATCACAGTAACTGACATGTGCGTTATATTTAATAATTATATGGCAGTATATCTCTCTAAGCAACATGGTGATTGGTTAGAGATCATTGGTTAGTTGCTAAGACCCCAAACCATCATTTTCAACCATCAAAACGTGTTAAACCAGTTACTGAATACATTACAATTATCAAATATTGGGCTGGCCATCACATACTCTCACCATTAGACAGTTACAAGCCTTGTTACTGAGTGACATTAGTAAGAGATAGTTAACTCTACAGTGAACTTAATATTTTTTGTAATATACGACTCTTATCATCACATAAAGACACCACTGATATCAAAAATTAAAAGCGTAACAGATTGCATGTTTCTATCCCCCAGAATTTCAGACTCCTTGTGCAATTACCAAAATAATAACAGGCTTAATTTGCAGATTAAAAACAGCGTCTTCAACCAGACATGGTCAACACTGACACACAGTTGTTTTCAAACAGAGGAAGAGCTGAGGATAGGCTTTCCACACCTGCATAACAAGGTATTTTTATAGCAACACAGATGGCAATACACAGCACTACAGTACCTGCATAAGGTGCTAAGTTCAGAACTGTGGCAAGTGATGCAATATGTTCTGACATTATGTATTTTGTGTTTTTGAGAGCAATGTCGTAGATCAGGACACCCAGTGAAATGAAAGACTTCACAAGTGAGGCATACAGTGTCAGGAAAAGTTTGGTTAGCTTTCAAGCAATCACGGTGATATGGTATTGGTGCATTAGGTGTTTCGGATCCAACCGTCTCCTGGGGGTACTGCATATAATGTGCAGAAGAAAGACATGTGTTTCTCTTTTGAACATTCACTCTTTCTCCTTGAGGGGGCTGCACTGTCCCCGTAGACTGAATACAGTGATTAAATCGGCATGCTTTAATAAAATCACAGTTGTGTTCATGGATCAACTGACAGTCATAGCACACCAAAAATGAACCAGAAGAAGAATTCATCATACAAAAATGTGTCTTGAGTGAATCTTTTGATTTTTCCTTGGTCATTCTGAGCTGGTTTTGTGCTGAATAAAGGTCTTCAGTCTTAAAATGGCACAGAGCTAAATGATGTCCTTTATTTTTGCACTCCTTATAATAGTCACAAAATGGACTGTGCACACCTTTGCACTTCTCACATTGGTATACATATAACGAACCTTGCTTTATACAGCTGCATATCACTTTTGCTGCCGCTTGGCTCTGGGCATCACCTTCAGTTTGATCTTCAGCAAAGCTTTC